GATAACTCCTTCCAATGTAGTTTATATTATAGCGATGAAATGATGGTCATTTCTAGTGAAACTGCCCATTAGACAAGACAGAAAAAGTGCAGCCCTGTCCAACTGGACAACAAATGCAGGAGAAGTGTAGGCAAGTGATGTAGAGGAAGCTACGCTATAAGTTCTCAGTCACCGGAGAAGAAAAAGTGGTAACAGCTCACCATGTGAATCAACAAGACCAAATCCTTCCTTTACCAGTAAGAACGTAACAGCTCACCATGTGAATCAACAAGACTAAATCATTTCTTTACCAGTAAGAACGTAATTTGGACATTGGACAAATAGCAAACTTCCGCATTACAAAGTTTAGCATTTTGTGATTTAAAATGTTATCTATATAGTGGAAAAACGAAATTTCTATACGTATGAACATAAATTTGTAAAATGAAAAAATACAGTCTTAGTTAAACATATGTATTTAATAAAATGTTTGATCTTATCTTTCCTTGCAGCCAGATGGTGGTGGGTATGATGATCGCCACGTGATACGCATATGACTCCTATGGGGTATTCCTAATGATTACTACGTGGGATACACAATGATTTACAAGTGGTGGGTATAATGATCACCACGTGATATTTATCTTAAGGAAAAAGCTACACAAAGGGCTATCTGAGCTTACTTCACCACGGGTATCGAAATCAAATTTTTAGTGTTATACGTTTCTAGACGTACCGTAAGCTATTGGTTGGCCTTCGTTTTCATGTTACTTTAAGTAAACTTCACGTAGGTGCTGGCGTCTGATTTATGGCGTTTTCTAAAAAAGAAACAAACAATATGACAGTAATAAGAAATTTTGAAAATATAGAAGAATAAACCTTGTGGTGTCATCGCCTTTGTATTGTTTACCCGAAGCACGTGATATTTAACTTACCATAAGTTTTCTCGAATAGTTCCGAAAAAACAAACCAAACAATATCGAGTAAATTTCTGGAAATTTGATAATTTCTGTATTCTACTTGGCCCCCCAGTGGCACAGCAGTATGTCTGCGGACTTACAACGCTAGAAACCGGGTTTCAATACCCGTAGTGGGCGGAGCACAGATAGGCTATCGTGTAGCTTTGTGCTTAATTACAAAAACAAAACAAACAAACATTCTTCTTGAATGCTTACTTTAAGGTTACTAATATCATAAATATTGAAAGCAAGCGCTTGGCATTACCAACCAGAAGGAACATTGGCTGAATGATCAGGACAGAGACCCCATGTTAGAAGTGTTTTCAAGATGGAGATCAACACCAATCAATGTAAATATTAAGATATCTTTCCAGCATGCTGTCCTCTTAATTATACTTGTAATCACAGCGAATTAAAATTTTCGGCTAGATTGTAATCTGTACAAACAAGCAAAGAAATGAATATTTATGTTTGATCTTTTATTGAAAGTGTAAACCCCAAGTGGCACAGCGATAAGTCCATGGACTTACAATGCTAGAAACCAGGTTTGGATACCCAGATAGCTTATTGTAGCTTTGTGTTTAACTACAAACTAATGGATACAGAATACAGTACACCAAGAAGGATGTGAAGAAAACATTAACCCAGAACTGAGGTAACTTAGTGAATCTTCTAATTAGCCAATAATGACTCTTTTTGCACAAATCAAGATAATATCAAGGTAATGTTATTTTTAAGTCTGGCTGTTATCTAGAACTACAGATAAACACATTTTACAACCAGCCATATGATTGTTACTAAACTCACACATGATTTTATATAGTTATTTGTTGTCAGAAATCTTTCCTTGAATTGCAAACAGAAAATAATGCCCCCCAGTGGCACAGCAGTATGTCTGCGGAGTTACAACGCTAGAAACCGGGCTTCGATACCCGTGGTGGGCAGAGCACAGATAGCCCATTGTGTAGCTTTGTGCTTAATTGCAAATTCCAAACAGAATATACTGTCTGTTCATTATCAACCAGCTCCATAAAGTTTTCATTATAAGAACTTTAATTATTTTTAATATTTTTTACACACCTTTTAGGTTTCTTCATTTAGCTATACGGATCACAATGCCAATCAAATTAGGTATCACTTTTCTTGCTTCTATACTTTTGATTGCAGTATTTATTTGTTTTGGATAGTTCTTATAGCAGTCCTACGAATAACTAACGATCCCTACTTTCCGTTAAAATTATATATTTTTTCCTATTTATGTAATAATAATTGTTGTATGTTACCAAAATAATATATAGAGTCTCTTTACTGAGTTATATTGATAAAGATCAACTGTTACGAATGTGTTATATCATTGTAACCAATTGTAAACTTAAGTTTTTAAAATAGGATGAAACAACGTGAAAATACAAAGTTTAATCATAAAACCGAGTGACATGTTTTGAGTTTGAACATGTTTCAAGAGTCCTAAAAGTTGTCTCGTATAACTTTAACAAACCTTAATTTATTTCCTAAAATGTAGCATTAATACATAGTTGTGCTAAACTGCGAAAGAAACATTTATGAACATGTTGTTTGTTTGTCCAAAGAGTTAAACCAAACAGCATACACAAACAGCATAAATCAGGTGCGTGTAGAAGAAATTCTAGTAACCTTACTCTAATGAGAGTCAATACGTGGATACTACACGAAGCAAAATATATCTCTTAAAGTATTGTTGATAATTTAGTAAATGGTTTAAATTTTGTTAATGTGGAAACTGCATTTAAGTCTGTTCGGTAATTTTGGATAAATTTTGATCATATATGAACAAAAATAATTTGTTTTGTTTGTTTATTGCAAAGCACAAAACTACACAATGGATTGTGTGTGCTCTGCCCACTGAGAGTATCGAAACCCGATTTTTAACGTTATAAGCTATCGAATTGTCGCTGATCCATCGAGAGACAAAGAAAAATAAATAGGGTTATTAACAGATCTTCATTTATGACTTGAGATAATCATACAATAAAAAAATAAGTATGTAAATATTTTACCGAGATCTTTTTAAAACGTTTATGTATAGATTATTTTCTAACTGCGTCTGAAAACTTTACACAAAATATCAAAGCACGTAATTAAAAGGTTGTGATTTCTCAACTTTAATTTTCTCAAAAAATCAAAGTTGATGTATACAGCACTTTTTTAATCGTAATACAGAAACTACTCGTTCGAAGGAGAGAAATACAAATATGGAATTTAAAACACGAGTTTCCAAAACAACTGAAACGGGTCAAATCTTTTGAATGTTTCATTTTGATTTTTATTAAATCCATCACCATACGCTGATAAACAACCACTGGTTAATCTGACTAGCGCATATAGGCCAAGGACGACAAGGAAAAAGGAAATATTTTATTTTCAATATGCTGCTTTTGTTACTGTTCGTGATGGAGTTGTCTCTTCCTCTTTTATATGAATAAATCAAAAAGAAGGATTACCAACTGAACGAAAAATGTGTCGACAGTTAAGCCTGAAGACGAAAAAAGAAGAGAGACTGGAAACCCTGAGGGGTTAATTGAAACGCATAAGGAACGCCAAAGGTCGAGGTCTGAAGTTGTGTAACAATGTAGCGACATACTTTTTTTTTATATAGAAACTCTTCCTGTTCCCCTCTTTCTTAGATATACACCCAATAGTGAGGCCATAAGATGGTGTGACACGGTCAATTGGTTGAAGCCTCATTTAAAAGTATATAAGGTTAGGAAAACTTTAAAAAGGCATCACTGTAAGTTTTGGAAAAAACCATTAATTTGGTTTAGTCTATCAAAAACTTTCTATCCCTTTCTTTCACAAAAGAGGTAGACTATGTCTTTAGTTTCTAAGTTTATGTAAACATTATATAGACGTCAAATTCTTGTAGAACAGCTGTAAAACTAAAATGTCTTACAGTCCTTGTTCAGTTAAACGTTGTTTAAATAGTAATTAAGGACGAGGTTTTCATTCAAACAATTAAAGTTTGTTAATATCTTATCTGATCAAAAGTTTATGAACGCTCATGTTTTAATACTTACCATTCACGCTTGACTCAAGCGAAATAGTTATTTGACAGTGATTATTTCAGTTAATGCAAAGGTAGTAATAGATGTACAAGGATTTTGGATTTTCTTATCCTGTACAAAGATGCATTCTGCAAGCTTCAGAAAAGTTAGGCATAGAAAATAAATACAGCATTTTATGAAACGAAGTTAACTTTGTGGAATGTTTTATGTGATTTTTTTATGTATCTTTCATTTTGTAAATATCTTTCTCTCATCAGATATTTTCAAGTAAAGGTTGATCTACTGGACACAAATCCAAAATGAAGGCCATAATTATTTTCGGTAGGTATTCGTAATATATGTAGAGTAACACAGCCGTCACACACAAAACACAAATTTATCTGCACATGCTAAATTGTCTAAACTTCAATAGTTTATGTTTACCAGCTCGTTCTTTGTTTTGAAAAGTATGGTTGTCCACAAAAGTATGTATATATTTCATTTTTGTTTTAAATTAAAGTCCACTTTCTGTGCTAGAAAAGCAATGTAGAACTATTTAATTGTATTCAACTAAAATGACTAAAGCTAAAATTTTAATTTTGTGTTAAATTTATTTATATATTTGATGATAGAACAGGGAAAAATATATCTGTAAAATTAAAATCCTAAGTTTGTGTTAAATTTATTTACATAATTGAATGATCGAATAGGGCAAAAAAAGTGTATATATTCACGTGATTGACTGTTTTATTTTCCAGCGATGGTCGGCTTTTTTGTCGTGAACGCCTTCTTGCGGGTAAGTAACATATTTCCAACATTAATTGGCCATTATTAATATTTTGTCAGCTTTTTCTTCCTCATTGTTATTCACATCTAACTCCAACTGATGACGTTGTTCTCGGACTTATGTATTGTAATTCTTTTATAAACTAACAGTCGTTTCAAAGGATCTCCAGCAACAACATTTAAATCTCAACGCTTATTTACACTCTTCAGTCTCAATGCTAATTTTGATGTTTGGGATCCAATAAGTAGTTTTAGCATCGTATTATCTGTGCGCTACCTTGTTTAATTATAGTACAGCATAAAATATACGCTCAAAGTACAGGAAAGCTAAATGCTAAAGTTTTATGTGAAATCCTGAATTGAATATATTTTCTCCAGCAAATAATCATTCCTTCAATATGATTGCTTGTACTAATCTTATACTTCGGAGCAAAAGCATTAATTATAGTAATTAGTCTTCTGCAATATGGAGACGAACATATCAGTGTTAATTCCTATTCTAAAAATAATACATGATAAACAAGATTACAATTCTGATTTCAGTGTTATTCTTAGATGATTGTATATATATTATATCTTAAGACTATTTAATGTCACCGATTAATGTATTTCGTGAATGTCAGGGTTTAATACTCTAAATAGGCTTTAATAAGGCATTAATGTGATGGTTTTGCTGATATTTCAATGTTTAGGATGAAACACTTGATATATATTATATTAAAGAAGAACTATTTAGTTTACCAACCATCATGATATGATTCAAAATATTTGTATTAATTTTATGAACACTACTATTTTGATCCAATTTTTATCCTAAGGATACTGCTTGTAGGAACCATTTATATATATCAAGACATTTTGGTTTACAATATCACTTGAAATAAATATAACCCGGTCCTAAGTTTAAATTGTCATTTCAATAAAAAAGTACTTAATTAAAGTGTATCAGTTGTCTAAAACTACTATTATCGCACACTGGAGGTTCCTAATTTGTTTTTGTTGTCATAAAGAACAAACGACAAGCGTTCGATCTACCAGATAGCACTTCTACCTTGTCACCAAACACTGAATTCAGGTGTGAGTCCGACGGTTACTTCGCCGACATGGGAAGTGAGTGCAAAACATATCACGTCTGTAAAACACAAATACAGTACGGAATAAAAAAGACCAGGCAATATACTTTTGCTTGTGGTAACCTAACTGTCTTCAACCAACTGTACTTAACTTGCACTTATCCTGATGAACAGTTAATTCCTTGTAATAGGTCCGATGAATTGTACTACTTGAACGAAAGGCTTTTAGCCGGAGATCCAAAACTCTATTATCTGAATGAAGATGAAAACTTTTCTACCAAAGAGTAATAGTTATTTGTTGTTGTTTTTCTGATGCCGACAAGAAAATGGAAAAGTTTATTTGATATAACTGTATGATTGTGCTTTTTGCTAATCTTCCACCATATATGTCGAGAACACTTTCTGCTTGAGATGGTTTGCGATAATCTTAGGAAAGGTTTACTATATTAAAATAGATAAGCTTACATTGTGTTCGATAGAATTAATGAAACTAATATTTACAAATAATCATTGTAGTTTGATTAACATTCAACTAACTGCCAATAAAATGCATATGTTGTTTTACGCAAAATACTGTAGCTTTAAACATATGAAGGAATGTGCTAGAAATAAAAAGAATTGCAACTAACAGATGTTGACTACTTTTTGTTTTTATTATTTATCCTCCTGGCCCAATTTTTGTTTTTCAAACTCTGGCTCTTAACATTTGCAAAACTAGAAAAATAAAAAGTGACGAGGTGATATCATACAATAATAAGGAAGAAATTTAAGAGAAAACCTGGGGGGGGGGGATTTTAATTTTAATGGGTTAATTTTTTTAAGGAGATGGTTTTTGTTTCTGGTGCATCTTATTTAGATATACATACACCTAAACCTGCACGTGTTATAACGATAACTTGGTGATGAACAAGTTATGTTGAAATAAATATTCATGTAACTTTGAAATAAACTGGATAACGTCTACTCCTTAATAACGGAATTTCGTGTTTTCGTCACGTATATTAAATCCATTTATAATAACTTGTTACGTATTAGAATTTCAAATGGGCTGAAATTGAGTTAACTGATCAATTTAAATTTAGTAGTTAAATTGTACTTTGAATTTAGCAGTTAAGTAAAAGCCGATATAAGGTCAATTTATGATATTTGCCAACAAGATTGATAACACAAATACGTTTTAATATATACACATACCAATACAATTTACAATAACAGTTATTACAAATAGTTATTACAAACAATGATTTATAAACAAAAGTTCCACAAACTTACAAGCAATATAAAATTTTCTTTCTAGTCTGGAACTTCCTTAATATCTTATCGATGGTTCACGATGAGCGAGTTAATTTTGAGTTAACGTAGGCACAATTCACTTAACAGAGAGCTAGCTAGCTCTGTAGTCTCTTCACTGTTCATACGCCTATTAGAGATTGAGTTTCCAACGATGACGTTAGGTAATGTTTTCATAAAAGTATTAATGTCCGATGTGAATCCACTGAAGTTAAATGGTTTGTAATGTTCGAAATTTATAAATATTCCTGGTCAAATATCTGACGTTTTCCGATTGATAAGCGTTATAACAATCATAGTTATTGCTTCCAAAGTTTATAGCCCACTGACTATAGCGAACTAATAATAAATACTCTCTCTTTTTTGGCGTGTCGCGTTGGTTATATTTATAGGCGTGTGGAGGTTTTCTAGACGTTTCAGTTTTACGTAACAATACTGATGCTAACACAAGCGTTTACATATACACATACTGTTGATTCTTACTCTCTAGAATCTTCTACAACTTTGGAGAATAGGCGGGAGTTTCGCAATACATTGTTAACAGGCGTATCAGGCGTTCTTTAATTAAAGA